TTTTACAGACAACAAACTCCTACATTCCTGCCTGTTAGCCGACATAATCTCGCTGAAGGTGTCGGCTGCTCGCGCGAGCGCGGGGTTCAAGGGTGGCCTCGCTGCAGCGCCTTTGTTTTGTTGAGCCCGGCTGCAGCTCGCATGCTGCACCGGCTTCTTTTCTTAGAGCTGCAGAAGAAACGCCTTGCCTATTGATCCGCTCACATGTAAACAAAACATCTCCGTTCTTCTGGGCTCAAGGTACAAATACACGGGAGAGTTTGGTCGGAAGACTATACTATGCAGTGCGTTCCTCCTCTTCTATTTGTGTACACGGCCTCTGTGATTTAACAGCCCCTCTTGACAGCTCCTAGTGAAGTACAGCACACTTGCTGAAGTAGAAAAATGTCAGTCACCGGTCAGTTTAGCTTCGATTTGTATGTTTTTCTATTGCAGAGAAAGCTTTTTTTCCCCTTTTTTCCCCCTTTTTCTTACACTTGCATTGCAATTCCTAAATTCAGACTTGCACTTATGATGCAATTACACCCATGTGATCATGTGACTGCTGATCTAATCGTTGCAGTAATTAAACCTGAGGTCTTTTCTGCGTACTGTACACTGGCTTCAGGTGATGTCGGGCCTGACGGGTGCAGAAACCGTTCAGTAGGCTTTGTGCTCCCTGTGTTTTCTGCTCTGGGTGCTTCTGTACGCCTGGCTGCTTTTCCCTCCTCTCTCCATATACAACTGGGCTGCGGCAAGGGGGTCAAATGTCACCCTCTCGGGATTCTGCGTCTCCTTTTGTCATTGCTGAGCTTGATGATTGCTGCGCGAGTTTGTATGAGAGAGAGAGAAACAGGGCAAGAGATTGTGAGAGTAGGAGCAGGCTGAGAGACCGCGCTTTGTGTGTGAGGCTGCGATTTTCTGAAAGAGTCCGAGGGGTTTGGGGGTGAGTCAAAGTGAGATCTCCCCATCGTGGTGCTATAAAAATAGCCATTACAGCATGGTAAATCACAGCTTGCCTCTTAGACACATCACATCTGTACTAGGTTTGGCAAGAAATAGGTGCTGAGGGAATTATGTGTGTAGGGGTGGGTGGATGTGTGTGTGTGGGGTGGGGTGAGGTGAGGTGTGTGGAGGGGGGGGTCTTCATGGGCAACCAGCTGAGACCACATGCAAGGAACATCCTAATTGGTATTCAGGCCAGGGCTGTCACAGCTTCTCACACGCGGTCCTCACTGCATACACATTCCTTCCTGTTGCCACGGCGCCGGGCCCCAGAGAGTTCCTTCGACGTCAGAGACGAACCCGTCCACTCACAGAAACCCCAGTAAATCCCCGAGTCCATCAGCACTAGTCAAACGGGAGTCTTGTCACTTCTATTGTCTGCCATCTTATCTCCTTTTCAGCTCTTCAGCCCCTTTTGTTCATGCTCAGTCAGAGACACTATGGTTTACTAATTAAATGATTCCCTTACACTTTCACTGGGGTGTCAGCGCCTCCTTAAACAGACACCCCCCCCCTCCCCAAAACGTAGTTGGTGGCTTAAATCAAGTATTTTATATGCACATCACACGTTTGTTCAAGGCTTTTGGAAGCTATGAAATATTATTTCTGTATTTCTACAATTTGGGAACAATATGTTTTGGGTATTTTTAATAAAAATTTTAAACTTTTGAGATGTTGTCATGGTGCCCATCAGCCCATCGGCACGTTATTTTGGGTTTTACCGACCGTTTTATGAAAGGATCCGACTGGAACTGAAACCACGTCCTGATAAATTCACTTGTAGCTCGAAGCCAGTGAGCAGGTGTCACTTCACATTAACATACCTGCCTACTTTCAAAGTCTCTGAGTGTTTTTGGAGGAGGGCAGGTGGTGTCGAGGAGTTGCGGACGTGTGGTGTGTTTGTGTGTGTCTGTGTGTGAGTTGCACTTTCTTTCACTCTAAGTGTTGCAGTGCAACCAAAAGAAGTTTGTTGATGTCTGCAGTTATTTTAGTTATTTTATTATCGTAGCATGAAAGTAGAAGTTATTTGATACATTTTCACAAATTTTCCAAACAGCCCATTTCTTTTCCACAAGAAAAGGAGGTTGGTGGCACGTTGAAATCTCTTTTTGGTACTTTTGATAGTGTCTCTGGTCTTTTCAGTGTTGAACTTTTGGTTCCAGTTCACTTTGTATAGATTATTAAACACTGGCTCTCTTCTACAGTGTGTCTTTGTCCTGTCCAGATCGACAAAGGATGAAGATAAACTGTGCCAGAGGCTTCATCCTGTAAAAAGGGAGATTTTCCTTCCCACTGTCACCAAGTACTTGGTGGTCTGATTGTTGGGATTTCTCACGATTATTGTGGGGTCTTTTCCTTAGAATATAAAGCACCTTGAGGCAACTGTTGTCATTGTTTGCACAACATAAATAAAACTTGTCTCAGTTTTGCATCAGTAATCGATGGATGAATTTCCTCCAACCTCAAAACTCTCACTTCCAATCGCATTCTTCCTATGAAGGATAAACCATTGTTATTCCCTGAGCTATTCAAGCAAAACGGTCCTTGAAAAGGGGAGAGAAGATCTTTTCAGGGAAAAGATGGGCTTTGTTTCAACAACATCCTAAGTGGAACCTAAGAAGATGAAGTTGGGTTCTTGGAGATCTTATATTTGAGGCTGATGTTGCATTTCCTCGTGGCTCTTGAGAGAGTTCTGGAAACCTTCCCAAAAAGGCTTAGAGCAATCAGCGTGTCTTTATACAAAGACAGACATCTTTAAACATGTGACTAAGCTATGATTTCCATGGGAGGCTACAAACTCTTAGGGGCAGTTGACAAATAGTGACCTCAGACAAGGTTATGTCATAGTCTGTTTCATCTTGATACTTTTCTATATGTGGTATGTGTATTTTAGCTCCTTATTTTTGAGTAGTAATTCAATTTCTATGTCTGCCTGCTCAACAGAATTAGTATGTGTTACCTGTGGTATTTTCCCTTTTCTATTTTGTTTCCAGGGAAACAAAAATGTAATCCAGCCTGACAAATGTGAAATAGTATTTTTGCACCAACAAGGTGATTCCCAGGTTTTCAACCAGAATGTCTTGTTGTGCATTATGTCCATAAAAAAGTTTGAGGCAGACAGAAGGAGAAGTAGTAGGCTTAAAAACCTCTCTACAGTAGTTGAACAGTATCTGAAAGTCATGTCCTTAGAGAAAAAGAAAGATAGCAGAGACAGCAGATAAGAGATGGGTATTGTATTATCCCTTGTTTTCTGAATTCCCGTTTTGATATAGTTTTGCTATCACATACTTAGTTGTGAGAAAAAAACTGATGGGACATGGAAGAGTGGATCTGAATTAGAAACCATTTGCTCATTGACTAGGGAGATGTGTTTGACATGCCACGATCAAGATATTTAAGTTTTCTTTTCAGTATGACACAGAATGAATGACTAAGATTTTTTGCAGGGGTCAAATCAGAAAGCCATATTCCCATAGATTTCTATCAGATTGAAGTATTTCCAACCATAATTGTTGCCATCATGGGGTCTTCATTGGCTTCATTTTTCCACCTAGAAAGCTATGTCAGTGTCTTTTTACTGCCTGTGATCTGGTCCAACAGTTAATCCATCTACTGTTCACTGAAGCCTCATCAGAAATGGTGTCAGTGGAAGGGTGGCCATCAAATTATGTCCTTAATTTTAAACTTTGCCAATATCTCTTTTATCCAATAAAGTTCAGTTATTTTTGTACAGCAAAATGAGATTTTCAAGCATACAGAATTATCACTAAAAGCTGCACTCTGATATGGGGTCAAGTTGGCAGTTACTGTAGTGGTGCATGTTTGTATTATTCCCAGAGTATTTTAATGTATTTAAGAAAATACTAATATTTTGCGTCCCTGTGTCCATACAAAATATCGTGATGCTTTACTGTGTTGATTTTCCCCCCCAACTTTTACGAGGATGCCTTCAGAGGTGTGTAAATGTCAATTATTTAACCAGTGCTCCACACAACAGGATGTTTTGATCATGGTCACGGCAGAACCTGAGTGTCTTTCAGGTTGATTTTTTGTGTGTGTGTTGCAAAGTAAAGTCACTAATACCTGCAAGGTGCAAATTACAATAAATAAGTTAACAATAAAAAGTTATATCAGTGTCATTAAATGTTTATCTCCCACTATTGTTTTTACAGTTCTCTTTTGTGCACTATGTTTTACCAGGTCACATATTGGAAATGTAACATTCAAAGAACAAAAGGTTTCTTATTTAAACTTTACAATTATCCTAAAAGAAAATGTGAAAAAAACCCTCAAATTGCAGAATACAAAACAGTAACCTAAATCCAGATTGCGCTGATGTTTTGGGCAAAATTATGATATGCAGTGAAACCCAGAGGAAGGTATTGTCTATCCAGTTCTATTTCAACATGTCTCATACCTTTCTTTAACACATGGCTGCTTTCGGTGAAAAACACCTGAAAAACTGACAGAAAGAAAATCTAAGCTATTCACTAGTGAGGATACTGAAGCATTTTGCTGCAAAGTAACAGTAACATGATTGAAAGGAGAACTCCGGAATGTGAATGTGGAATTAGACATACACCACTGTGAGTAAGTGGTAACAAATACATTAATTAATTATATTTTTATAGAGAGATCAGCCACTTTAGGCAGATACAAACATGTTGTTTTTCATGAGTTGAATTATACTTCATCCTGATTCTGTTAACACTCATTTTCCCAGAAATTCTTGTCATACTTGGAACATTTTGGTATGATAAAGTGAGCTACCTTTGCTGCTCTAACACTCCCTCTGACTTCTCTTTCCTCCCTGTCTCAGTTAGCACAATGTGAAGAGCCTAATAAGCCTGCCTGTTGGCACTTAGCGCACCTGAAAATAGCATTTCCCTGTTTACGCGCAGCACTGCTCTTCTCACAGTCTTAGATCCACCAAGAGCCCACTGTTTGGCAACACACAGCTGCTGAGATGCAACAACTCTGCATTGTTAATTTGTCTGACCTTTTGTTTTATCTAGCTGCAGAGTGGGAGGCGACCAATCTGAAGAAAGTGGAAGAAGCTTACGAGACAGTCAACATGGAAATAAGGTGAGGCTAAAAAGAAAGCAACAGAGGCAGAGGTTAGCGCCTACTGCGGCATACGTGTGGCTAAATCCTCAACATTTTGCACTTTTTGCAGATGAGGCATTTGCCTCTCACAGTTTTTGTTTTTTGATCGCAAGCAGGAGCGTGACTGTAATTTCACCAAGCCTTAAAATAGACTCCATCCTTCTGTGCTAACATAGTATGGAAAGAAGCACTGTGGTGAATATGCACTGTGTGATACCTAAGGCTAATGCTAATGAAGAAAAACAAACACTATTGGCTGTCTTCTGTACTCTGCTGGGTGGTCTTCTTCTGACTTAGTGTGAGCAGAAGAGTCTCCGTCTGGCTGGGAATTACCCACAATCCTCTCTGGCTTTTTAAAGAGAGAAATTGCAACTACTTTTTAGTAAAGAAAAAAACGATTTTATAGGATTCATTCTGCTCCTCGCTCTTCTGTCATGCTTACAACAGCTGAGGAGTAAAATCCACGCACAGTTTCTTTTGCTCCCTCTCAGATGTTTTCACAGAGCTCAGAGCCAGCCAGCAATTGCTGATAAGTAGCTTCTGTGGCCCTTAGGCCCCCAAACTGTTCATTACAGTAGGGAGAGAGGAGTGCCAACTACAGAGGTGGCACTTACCAAAAGGTCAGCCTTTTTTCCCCTCAACCAAACACTTGCATGAGAGAGGAGGAGGAGGGTGGATGCAGGGGGACAGGAGCTGGCATGACTTCATTTGTTCTAATTATTCATTGTCCACCTTGCTTTAATTGCCTCTAGCCAAATTACTCACTGTCATTTGTGTTTGAGGACTGGGATGTGATTTTCTCCCCCGTGTCCCGGCCTTGCGCATTTTTCTCGTTCATACCTTTTAGAAGTCACATGATATCGAGGTCTACTTCTAATTAGTCCATACATTTTGCGCTGAAGAGAGCAATTTCCACAAAAATTGACTCTGCGCGTGAATGTTACGACCCCTGCCCCGCCGAGAATCACACGCGCACACGGTTACGCAAGCCGCAACGCTTTCCTGACCCCGAATCGTCCCCCTACCCCCTGCCTTATCAACCTCAAGCGGAACAATCACCCTCCCTAAACATTTGTTAACCCCATTAGCAATTCTGGGTTATGAATATGGAAATGAGGGCCTGTGTGCTGTTAGAGATAGGGCTCACTTGCCTTATTTGCGATTAGCGAAGAAGAGCAGCCCTTACTGGCTCGGATAATTAGAGACACTGCATAGAAATGGGCTTTAACGGGCCACCTCATCAGCACAATATCTGAGATGTTAGTCGCTAGAAGGAGCAAGGAAAATAAAGCTACTTTGTCAGCACAGTTGTGAGTCATGCAGAAGTTATTAAAGCAGCCTGTCAGGGAGTGACAACAAATTGAATTGAAGAGTGTTGTCTTAAAACATAAAAAGGATTCTGTTCAGGTTTAGTTGAAAAATCATTTTTCATGGATTTCTTCTTAAATGATTTGCTTAAAAATACCATGAGTTTTGTTGTCTTTCCTGATGGAACTGAGGAACTTTATGTAATCTGTATTGTAACTTCCAAAACTAGCTTCAGATGTGCTTCTGATCTGTGTTTCTGTGTATTTTGGTTTCCTCAGTGACTTACAGAAGAAGTTGGCCATAGACTACGGAACAGACTGGGAATTTCTGTTTTTGAACGGCCAGTGTTACAAGCTGAAAGTATATGAGTAAGTACTGACAGACCTGGAGTGCTTCTGCCTTTTCTTGAACAGTCATGTGAAAAACCAAGTGCAGCCTAATGTCATCTTGCTTTATCAGTCTCTCACATTGTCGTGGAGGGATTTTGCCCCACTCTTCTTTACAGAGTTGCTTCAGTTGTTCTTTGAGTTTTGCGGGCGTTAGTTAGCATTTGACCTTAAAACACTTTGGTATTCAGAGGACTTCACGGTCGACCCTGTGAGTGCAAGATGTCCGGTCGTATGGCTGCAAAACAAACCCAACTCATCACACCTCCACTGCCGTGCTTTACAGTCGGTATGAGGTGTTTGTGCTGTTATGCTGTGTTTAGTTCCTAACGTGGTGCTGCACATTATGGCCAAACATCTCCACTTTTGTCTCGTGTGTATTGTTTTTATATTGGAGTCTTTGGGGCCCCAGCTGCCAATAGTAACTTTTTAAACCGTGTGCCTTCTTTTTTATTGTTGGAGGCCTTGGATCAGGGTGAACTGAAAGCATCAGTGACATAGAGTATATGACTCACGTATTGGTCTTTTATATGACCATGCTCTAATGTATGAAAACCAGACTTGGTGCATAGATCCGTGCAACCTTTTACAAAGCACAAAATGTGCACCATGCAACCATTTTTAATTGTAATAACGTTTCCTGCCAACGAAACGAAGAATCGTTTTATCTGGTAACAGAAAAACAAACTAGCTGTCGTTTCATCCTAAGGCTTGAGCCTCAAGCTTTATTTTATCAGTGTCGACACCAAACGTGGCATCCCATCCTATGGTTGTCCTGTCAGTGCTTGTAACATTTTGTAACACGATTGAAACAAGGTGTCATTGCACCTGTGCCGGTTGTATCTGTTTGGCCTCTGCAGTTAAAAAGCTCAAAGCAAACGCTACATATTAAAAATCACGTTTCGTTGTTGCAGCGCACTTGTCACGATTAAAGGCTGTTACTTGAAACATTAAAGCCTTTAACACTTTGTTTTTATTACTTGTGTTTTACCTCTGTGCCTCAAGTTGAGCGTAAACTCCCTGGATGTGGAAGTCAGTCTGTTTTCAAGAGAACTCGCAAAAATCAACTTCTTGTCTTGCACAACTGTATTAAAACAAATTGTGTCTATAAGGAATGTGAACCATCTCGTAAAGATCCACCATTTAAGATTGATAATTTGTGAGCTCCAAGTCACCCTGGAGAAGCCAAGCAGCTAAATCAACTAAATTTAATCAACAGAATGAGCTTCTTTTACTCTCTCCTGCTGCATCCCTATGGCCCCTGCTGGGGTAGAATCTGTTCTCCTCAGGATTGCTTGCCAGCTGGAGCTTTAGAAGTCTGTGGGTGGTTGCAATTTTGAAAGAAAATTATCTGAGATCTGCACTAAGAGATCTGCACTGCAAATACATTTTCAGACATCCTTGGAATCAGTGGTTTTCCCATGCCCTTATTCACCAGTGTGATTTGTTTGCTTAGTTTGCCATTTAGGAGGCAAAATCTGAAAAGCAAAGATGAACTTCTTGCATGTACGCCAGAAGAAGATTCGTCTCAGGGTTTTTACATTACATGATAGTTTTACATAACAATATTTCACACTGCTTGAAAAATGGTTTAATTTCACGCTAAAGGGATGGGAAGGTGGCTCCTATATTATTTATTGAGCTTTACCACCGGAGATCCAAAAGAGCCTAAATGACCAAAAGACATACGTGAAACAAGCCATGGGAGTTTATGGCATAGGCCAGGGCTGCCCAATCCCAGTCCTCGAGAGCTACTATCCGGCAGCTTTTAGATGCATCCCTACTCCAACACAGCTGAATCAAATGAATGGCTTGTTATCAGGCCTTTGCCAAACGCGATGGCATGCTGAAGAGGTAATCAAACCATTTGATTCAGCTGTGTTTGAGTAGGGATGCATCTAAAAGCTGCAGGACGGTAGCTCTCGAGGACCGGGATTGGGCACCCCTGGCATAGGCGATTATCAGTCACATAACACCCAAAGGCTGTATGGATGGTATCATTTTTTAGTTGCATAAAACAGCAAAGGTTGAAGGAATAAATGAAAAATGTGTGTATTTCTTCAAATTAATCTCTAGTTGCCTTTTAGTAATTCTTCGATCACTCAGCTTAACTGATTATATTGTTTGCTGCAGCTAAAATAACATAAAAAAATGTAAATTAATTAATAAATAAGATCATCCACTTCATGGAAGCCGCTAATGCTACTATGCTAGTAGCATTGTCAGTACCAGTAAAATAATTTCTGCTCTCACAGCCAAAAGAAAGAGGGGACGGATTATTTTTGCTCATATTTTGACTCCAATTCTTTGCACATTTATCAAGTTAGCCTATTTCTCTCAGTCTCACACCTTCAGCCTTTTGCACAGAAACCCACAGTATGCTCTCCCTAGCCTATTGGCATCTTACATTCTGTTATTTTTCATCCTTGAAACCACCGAAGAGCACAATATCTACTTGCGTCAACTCAGTTGACCTACCAGCACCCTCTCTCCAATGTACCAGTTCCCTTCCCTGCCCCTCTTTATCCTTGCTGTTTGCCTTGAACTGTGATCCTGAAAAGACATGACATTGACAGACACATAAACCAACAGCTTTCTATAACTCTCCCTCCCATGCCCTCAAGTAGCAAAGCTACAATTCCTCTCCAATGATGGAGCAGAATAACACACTTCTCTTTCCCGCTTCTTGATCGTCGGTTGAAACCGTCTTACAAGCGCCCTCCCTGGTGTTCAGATCTCTCACATTTGATTAAATTGCTCCATCCTTTCTTGAGTGGCAGCCAATATCGAAGATAAGTGCCCGAAGCCATAAAAGTTTGCTGTGCTGAAATGTTGCCTGTCTTTAATATGACTAATAGCTGTGCATTATTTAAATGGATGGGATCCAGTTGGTGCTTGGGCGGGGTTTGTGTAGGGAGATGATAGCAGTTGATGAGACGACCCCATTGAGACTAAACTGTATAAACTGGATTTGGTTACGCTCGTATGTTGCATTCAGAGCTTGTTATTAAAAGTGAGTCTCATCTGTATTGGAAGGTGCCAGCTGAGATTTCTGCTTTCGTCTTTGTAAACGTGGGCCCTCTTTTCTTTCTTTTTTCCTGAGACCTCTGCATCGTCGCCGCCTTGCCTCATGATGGTGTGAATCGCTTGTGCAAACTAGGGCTTGAAGGCCTTTCTTGTTTGTCCCTCTGGGAGAAAAAAATATATAATTACTTTGATTTCAAAGTAGGAGAGAAAAGAAAACAGTCTTTTGTTGTGAAACACTTTCAAGTGGAATGATTAACTGTGAGATTGGAAGCTAAATGCTGTGTAGTAGCACTCTCCACATTGCCTTCTCATCAGTTTCTCTAAAGACTCTAAACAAAACGAATAAAAGCTTACAAAGAGAACTTATTCTTGCTGCATTATCATTTAATGGCCTTTATTGCTACACTCCCAAGCCCCTCTCTCCATACCTGAGGCTCCTCTTTTTATATTACATCACATTCAAAGTACTGTACTGAAGTTTACCTCCAGAAATTTAGCCATTAAAAAATCCACGTATTTTCCCCTGAAATGGTCTTCAGGGTGCTGTCGGAGGCCTTATCACAAGCCGGGAATTTAAAACGCGAGCTTCTGCCAGCGAATCCAAAATAAGCCTGGCAATTCAGTCAACACAGCCTGGCACAGCATGAAGGGAGACACCCCATAATGAGTTCTCAGAGGCGGAGTCCCTACCTACAGCAGAGCCTAATATTCCTCCTGTGGATTTGTTGACACTCCTCAAAGCAACTTAAATCGAAGGCCCGTGATTTATGCAAGACTGTCAGGTCAGATTGACTCAGCCTCCGCTCTTGTGTCATTAGAAAGTACAGCTCTTCAGTGAGTCATGCCTGCCACTGTTGTTCAGCTTTGACAGAGAAAGAGAGAAGGATAACGCAGCACAAGTGACACTTCCAACTGTCTGCAGAACATCACATGGCCTTAACAGTTCGCCGGGTTCTTCCAGTGAAGAAAGGGAATTCACCAGGATAGCCTAGAGGGAGCTGTTTTAAATTGGATCTAAACCATGGCAATGCGGGTGGTGTGGAGTCCTAGATGTGTCTGCTGAGCGTAACATGGAAATGAAGAGCCATATAGATTTATGAAGTAGATTTCATAGCGTCTTAGCACAAATATTGTCTATTTGCAAATTGGGTTTGACAGGACCAGTGGGCTTTTTTAGACAGTAAACTATTTGCCGTCTGCCAGTGGACATCAGCGAGATGCTAGAAACAGAAAAGCTAATTTCAGAAAGCGTTTTTGCTGCAAATCATTTGCCAGTCATTCACTGTACCGGTCTTTAACATGAAGCATGGCAGCCTGTTGCTTTTCTAGCAGATACGCTGAAGAAACAAAAACTACATGAAAACCTTGTTTGTCCCGGCTTATAAAGGGGGCAGAAAGGCAAAAGTTGTGGCTAACCTAATTGGGATCTTGTTAAAATGTGCTTGTGCTGCCACAGCTGCATAAGCAGGTCCATGCCTTGGAGCACGAGCACTTCGTCAGACCCTTAGCTTTTAAATGATGATAGATGTGCCACAGATGCTGTTGTTACATTAAAGCATGAAATTTAACATCACTCTTAGGGAGCTGCTCATGCGGTTAATTAACTTCAAAAGGTCACGTTTGTCCAACTGTCAATAACTACGGAGGCAGAAGGATTGCTCTCGTCTGCTTAAAGATTTGCACTATGCAGTGTCAGAGATGATAGCATTTTAAAGCTTATATCTTTAAGCAGACAGCTGAAGAACTCTTCTTAATATACAATCATCAGCCAGGTTGAACGTGGCATAATTGTTGGTACCAGATGAGCTGGTTTGAGTATCTCAGAAGCTGCAGATCTACTGGGATTTTCCCCACAAAACCATCTCTAGAGTTTACAGGAATTGGTCTGAAGGGAAAACGTTCTGGAGAAAATGCCTTGTTGACGTCAGAGGCCAAAGGAGAATGTTTTGAGTTAG